TGGGATAGTAGGGAAAATCCATTAGTACCCAATTTGTTTTATTTTTTTGCAAAATCAGTACAATTTTATTCTTTTATATTTGATTAAAATTAAAAGAAATTTTTTTTATTTTCTATTTTTGCAAAAATTGTGTCCGAAGCAAACTGTTTTTCAAAATTTTTTTCAAGTCTGAAGTGATTAACTTAATATGAGAAAGAGGGATATAAAAACTCCCATCTCAACTTATGCAGATAGTTCTTTTGAATAAGTTGATTAGATCTCTGATCTTTATTTACTTTATAGTTTTTTTTTGAGTTCCAGATAGATTGATTACAAACGGCTAAAAACCATGAATTGCCCAACAACTGACAAACTCTTGCAACTCGTTACCTTGTTCATTAGCGATTTTTAACAGCAGAACTAGGATAGCAACCATCAGTCACTCAGTTTTTCATCTAATCTAACTTATCAGAAGCTTTTTTATTCATGCCGCAGGACCATCCGACATAAATTACATACGCAGTAAATCAGATAAGGTATAGTGGAGCAGTTGCACTGCTGCTAGAACTTTGAATGGTGAGCATCTTTTTTCCTAAAGGTTCATTAGTCTTAAAATGTATGATTTTGACCTCCTAACCAAATTAGAACAGTTGTCCCACCACACATCTTAAAAAACCTCTGGTACGCAATTGCACAGAGCGCTATGTACAGCTAAAGGTCATTCAAAGATCGTAAAAGTTCACGCGACACGTCCGCTTCGCGCAGTCTCAGCTGTCCACGAGCGTAAGCAAGTTGGCTTCAAGCCAAATATGCGAGTGAGCTGCTGTGGCAGGATTCTTTCTAAGACAATGAATTCTCGTCAGAATTTTTCTTGGTTTTTTACTTTTACCTTCTTTTCTTACCACTTCGAGCCAAATATGCGAATGAACTGGTGAGTCAAATTTCCAATGATTTTGATTATTCTTTTCAAAATAAGTGTTAACAAGCCTAAATGTGAAATCTCCGATGTGTTATAAGAATCACATGTAAGATACAGTCTGATACTGTCAAGTCTCCCACCTACGATTATTAAAGGGTCGTCAGAGCGATAATCTAAATTCGACCTTGCTTTCAAAAGACAATAAGTAGACTCACTTTCCTTCGTAGAGCTCATGAAAGTTCCAAGGAATGTAGTATTGAATGGCATTGAAACCCAAGGCTCGTATTCGACAGAGTCTAGAAAAAGAATAAGGAATCCCAAACAAATTGCAGCTTAACATATGTTCAGATTTTTTTTGCGGAGACTGAAAATCCCTACAAAGTTCCCTGCAGGTTCAGTTGCCAATGCACGAACTCGGATTATTTGA